TAATCACCGGATCACCAGCGTCCATATTGTATCACCACAACAGCCGAATCTTTTCACACAAGTCAGACAAAAGTCTCCTCTAAAAATAATCCAGCAGTCTAGAGACTATAAATGGGCCAGCAACATTCTTGATTTATATAAGAGCATGCTTCTGTGATGACGAGACAATGAAGACTCTATGAATACAATAGATGCCATCACAGGGCACCTTCTTATATAAGAGACTGGCAGCTTCTACTGAGCGCAGCCAACAATGGGAATGGGGACAGTTCCTGAGCATAGTCCTTCATACTGGTCAGACGGCTTCCACAAGCCCTAACCTGCTCACCTGCACTACCCCCTCCATAGGTGTGTACCACACTCTCCTTTAATGATCCCTCTCTTTGTTACACACTTAGCCACACAAAATACAAGGATTACTTCCTGCCTGACACCTCTCACACAACCACTTGAAAGCAGGTGAAATGTAATTACCCAACCTATTATTATCATCCTCCTAGGATTCCCTGTATAATGTGTAGAGAGTAAACAGGAAATTGTCCAGTAAGTGAGGAAAATCAGCTTAGAGTGGGAGAGCAAGTGATAATACTGGTAGGGGGCCAGTAGAAAGTAAGTAGGGAGGGCAATCACATGAGCCAGGTCACCTAGACCAAAGCGGAGAACCCTGTGTGAAGGACCATGTGTGAGGGACCCTGTATGACGGACCATGTGTGAGGGACCCTATGTGAAGGACCCTGTGTGAGGGACCCTGTATGAGGGACCATGTATGAGGGACCCTGTGTGAGGGACCCTGTGTGAAGGACCCTGTGTGAGGGACCCTATGTGAAGGACCCTGTGCGAGGGAGCATGTGTGAGGGACCCTGTTTGAAGGAACATGTGTGAGGGACCATATGCTGGGCCCAAACCTGCATGAACACAGTCTGGAACTGAGGCTTCACAACATTTCCATGTATGAACTCACCTCCTGTCTTGACTACCTGTCCCCAATCCCACCAATATCCCTACTGGGAGGAGATCTTTCTCTCCCCCACAATGGTTGGGAATGAATGTTTAGATGAGCAGAACATACTTCAGGCAGAGGCAGTGAGTCAGTCTACAGTAAGTGAACATGAACCTGCTTGGGACTATCAAAGATCTATACAAAAGGGATGGATTCTATGAACTTGGACTTTGGTTGCCCTATTACCTATTTCTACCTTTCTAATTGTAGTGTAACTGTAGTTTTCTTTACATTTTGCTCTTTGGGTATATGGGTGCTGTTTGTTTTTTTATGGACTAGTACAATATGCTGGTAACACCTTATAACAACTGAACTTATGGTGCTATGTAAATCACCAATATTCAAAGCAATAAATGCAAATACAAAAAAACACCAGAATGACTTACCTTTCTTCCGTTCTACCCCAACTACTCATCACCATGCAAAATATCACCTTCATCCATTGTCATTCCCTTATCAAGTGTACCCGACTGTCATCACCTCCATCCACCGCCATCTCCTTCCCTATTGTATCCAGTGTACCCGACTGTCATCACCTCCATCCACTGCCATCTCCTTCCCTATTGTATCTAGTGTACCCGACTGTCATCACTCCATCCATCCACCGCCATCTCCTTCCCAATTGTATCTAGTGTACCCGACTGTCATCTCCTTCCATCCACCGCCATCTCCTTCCCTATTGTATCTAGTGTACCCGACTGTCATCACCTCCATCCACCGCCATCTCCTTCCCTATTGTATCCAATGTACCCGACTGTCATCTCCTCCATCCACCGCCATCTCCTTCCCTATTGTATCAACTGTACCCGACTGTCATCTCCTCCATCCACCACCATCTCCTTCCCTATTGTATCCAGTGTACCCGACTGTCATCTCACCTCCATCCACCGCCATCTCCTTCCCTATTGTATCTAGTGTACCCGACTGTCATCACCTCCATCCACCGCCATCTCCTTCCCTATTGTATCTAGTGTACCCGACTGTCATCACCTCCATCCACCGCCATCTCCTTCCCTATTGTATCCAGTGTACCCGACTGTCATCACCTCCATCCACCGCCATCTCCTTCCCTATTGTATCTAGTGTACCCGACTGTTATCTCTTTTAGTCACTTCTATCACACTTCCTTGATCCCTCCAAATTAAATGTAGGTATCTGGCTGGGTCACAATTCAGAGCTCTCATCACCTCTGTTCTGCACCACACAACCCTATTTATTTGTTTGAAAACTTTACCATACCTTCCACCCCAGTCTTCCCACATAGTCAATAAGTTGTACACCCATTTTAGATATATAATTATCAGTTAGGGAGCTGCATTCAGGTCATACACCTACACTGTCTGGAAGTACATTCATTAGCACAAAATAACAATTCTCAACCAAAAACACACTAATAAGGTGCACCAAAACACCATCATATCCTTCCCATGTACCATCAACACACACTATCATCTCCTCAACCCTAAGGACCACTCTGCCATTCCCTAGCACTACACTCTATCATCTCCTCACTATCACATTTCAGTATTATCCACCATAGTACTCTACCCCATTCCCACCATCATACTCTACCATTTCCCACCATCATACTCTACCATTTCCCATAACCATCATACTCTACCATTCCCACCATCACACTGTATACCATTTACCCACCATCATACTCTACCATTCCCACCATCATACTCTACCATTTCACACCATCATATCTACCATTTCCCACCATCATACTCTTTTACCACATTCCCACCATCACACTCTACCATTCCCACCATCATACTCTAAACCATTCCCACCATCATACTCTACCATTCCCACCATCATACTCTACCATTTCCCACCATCATACTCTACCCATTTCCCACCATCATACTCTATCCTACCATTCCCATTCCCCATCATACTCTACCATTTCACACCATCATACTCTACCATTCCCACCATAATAACTCTACTATTTCACACCATCATACTCTACCATTCTTCACTATCATACTGTACCATTCCCACCATCATACTCTACCATTCCCACCATCATACTCTACCATTCCCACCATCATACTCTACCATTTCACACCATCATACTCTACCATTCCCACCATAATACTCTACTATTCACTTTCACTACCACCATTACTACTACACCATTCTTCACTATCATATACTGTACCATTCCCACCATCATACTCTACCATTCCCACCATCATACTCTACCATTCCCACCATCATACTCTACCATTTCCCACCATCATACTCTACCATTCCCACCATCATACTCTACCATTCCCACCATCATACTCTACCATTTCCCACCATCATACTCTACCATTCCCACCATCATACTCTACCATTTCACACCATCATACTCTACCATTTCCCACCATCATACTCTACCATTCCCACCATCATACTCTACCATTCCCACCATCATACTCTACCATTCCCACCATCATACTCTACCATTTCCCACCATCATACTCTACCATTTCCCACCATCATACTCTACCATTTCCCACCATCATACTCTACCATTCCCACCATCATACTCTACCATTCACACCATCATACTCTACCATTCCCACCATCATACTCTACTATTTCACACCATCATACTCTACCATTCTTCACTATCATACTGTACCATTCCCACCATCATACTCTACCATTCCCACCATCATACTCTACCATTCCCACCATCATACTCTACCATTTCCCACCATCATACTCTACCATTCCCACCATCATACTCTACCATTTCACACCATCATACTCTCTACCATTCCCACCATCATACTCTACCATTTCACACCATCATACTCTACCATTCCCACCATCATACTCTACTATTTCACACCATCATACTCTAACCATTCTTCACTATCATACTGTGCCATTCCCACCATCATACTCTACCATTCTTCACTATCATACTGTACCATTCCCACCATCATACTCTCTACCATTCCCACCATCATACTCTACCATTTCACACCATCATACTCTACCATTCCCACCATCATACTCTACCATTTCACACCATCATACTCTACCATTCCCACCATCATACTCTACTATTTCACACCATCATACTCTACCATTCTTCACTATCATACTGTACCATTTGCCACCATCATACTTTACCATTCTTCACAGCATTCTCTACCATTCTCCATTATCACACTCCATTATTATCCACCATAGTATTCTACTGTTCTCCACTGTCATACTCTACCATTCTCCTCCATAATACTCTACGTTCTCCACCATTCATACTCTACGTTCTCCACCATCATACTCTACCATTCTTCACTATCATACTTTACCATTTCCCACCATCATACTTTACCATTCTTCACAGCATTCTCTACCATTCCCACCATCATACTCTACCATTTCCCACCATCATACTCTACCATTTCACACCATCATACTCTACCATTCCAACCATCATACTCTACCATTTCACACCATCATACTCTACCATTCCCACCATCATACTCTACTATTTCACACCATCATACTCTACCATTCTTCACTATCATACTGTACCATTCCACCATCATACTCTACCATTCTTCACTATCATACTGTACCATTTGCCACCATCATACTTTACCATTCTTCACAGCATTCTCTACCATTCTCCATTATCACACTCCATTATTATCCACCATAGTATTCTACTGTTCTCCACTGTCATACTCTACCATTCTCCTCCATAATACTCTACCATTCTTCACTATCATACTTTACCATTCTCCACCATCATACTCTACCATTTCACACCATCATACTCTACCATTCCCACCATTATACTTCACCGTTCCCCACCATCATATTCTCTCAATATCCATCATCTTACCCGTACTATTTTCCTCCATCATACCCAACCTTTTTCTACCATGATGTATTAAAAGGGATGAAGTATACATATGAAGGTAAATGAAGAAAATTAAAGAGAGGCTTTCACCCTGTTCTATGCATAGATGTGTATTATTAAATGTCTCTGGTATATGTACCTCTCACATGGGTGTTTACTTCCTCTCTCATAGGGTCTTCTGCTGGAACTGTAAAAACAGAGAAGAGTGTCACCGGAGTACTGGGACTTGATGTCACTCTCACTTGTTACTATGAAGCTCAAGAAGGAGAGAAGGTCTCTCAGGTTGTTTGGTCAAAGAAAATCTCTGGTGGGCAAAGTATTCAGATTGCCACCCTGAATGCAGAGTTTGGGGCCCATGTGTATAAAGAATTTGAAGGAAGAGTAAAAGAAAAGTCCCCATTACAACCGGAGGATGGCACAATAATCCTGAAGAATGCTGTGCAGGCAGATGAGGGCACCTACCAGTGCCGAGTGATCACTTTTCCAGCAGGAAACTTTGAAGCCGATCTGAAGCTTACTGTTCTTGGTAAGAGAAATCGAAAACAGAAAAGTAAAATAGTTATGAAACTTTTTCCCCAAAAAAAACAACAAAAACATAATTTAGCATATTCAAAGACCAACGGGGTTAATATTCAAGTGCAGGAAGAGCATGCTAAAAATGTAGAACCTTCTCATCATCGTTCTTTCACTGATTGCTGCAGTATAGCAAGCCATTGTATATAGTACCATACAATCCAATTAAAAAAAGTCATGATGACCTGGTAGGCTTGTGCTCAGAATTAGCTCAGATGTTTGGGTGAAGGGTGCCTATACCTACCCAAATACAAGCAGAAATTGTGGTAAGATATGGTTACAATGTAAGCAGATGTAAAGTAAATAAAGACTAAAGCTAACCATTGAAATGTTCATCCATCATGCTGAAACAATTTGTTTGCTTATTTTTTTTTTTAGTAGAAAAAAACTGTCATTACCCGACTATCATCTCCTTCATCCACCGCCATCCCCTTCCCTATAGTATCTAGTGTACCCGACTGTCATCTCCTTCATCCACCGCCATCCCCTTCCCTATAGTATCTAGTGTACCCGACTGTCATCACCTTCATCCACCGCCATCCCCTTCCCTATAGTATCTAGTGTACCCGACTGTCATCTCCTTCATCCACCCATCCCCTTCCCTATAGTATCTAGTGTACCCGACTGTCATCTCCTTCATCCACCGCCATCCCCTTCCCTATAGTATCTAGTGTACCCGACTGTCATCTCCTTCATCCACCGCCATCCCCTTCCCTTTAGTATCCAGTGTACCCGACTGTCATCTCCTTCATCCACCGCCATCCCCTTCCCTATAGTATCTAGTGTACCCGACTGTCATCTCCTTCATCCACCGCCATCCCCTTCCCTATAGTATCTAGTGTACCCGACTGTCATCTCCTTCATCCACCGCCATCCCCTTCCCTATTGTATCTAGTGTACCCGACTGTCATCACCTCCATCCACCGCCATCCCCTTCCCTATAGTATCTAGTGTACCCGACTGTCATCTCCTTCATCCACCGCCATCCCCCCTTCCCTATAGTATCTAGTGTACCCGACTGTCATCACCTCCATCCACCGCCATCTCCTTCCCTATTGTATCTAGTGTACCCCAACTATCATCTCCTTCATCCACCGCCATCCCCTTCCCTATGTATCTAGTGTACCCGACTGTCATCACCTCCATCCACCACCATCCCTTTCCTATTGTATCTAGTGTACCCGACTGTCATCACCTTCATCCACCGCCATCTCCTTCCCTATTGTATCTAGTGTACCCGACTGTCATCACCTCCATCCACCGCCATCCTCCTTCCCGATTGTATCCAGTGTACCCGACTGTCATCACCTCCATCCACCGCCATCTCCTTCCTATAGTATCTAGTGTACCCGACTGTCATCACCTCCATCCACCGCCATCTCCTTCCCTATTGTATCTAGTGTAACCGACTGTCATCACCTCCATCCACCGCCATCTCCTTCCCTATTGTATCTAGTGTACCCGACTGTCATCACCTCCGTCCACCGCCATCTCCTTCCATATTGTATCCAGTGTACCCGACTGTCATCACCTCCATCCACCGCCATCTCCTTCCCTATTGTATCTAGTGTACCCGACTGTCATCACCTCCATCCACCGCCATCCCCTCCCTATTGTATCTAGTGTACCCGACTGTCATCACCTCCATCCACCGCCATCTCCTTCTCTATTGTATCTAGTGTACCAGACTGTCATCACCTCCATCCACCGCCATCTCCTTCCTATTGTATCTAGTGTACCCGACTGTCCCGTCACCTAATCACCTCCATCTCCTTCCCTATTGTATCCAGTGTACCCGACTGTCATCACCTCCATCCACCCGCCATCTCCTTCCCTATTGTATCCAGTGTACCCGACTGTCATCACCTCCATCCACCGCCATCTCCTTCCCTATTGTATCCAGTGTACCCGACTGTCATCACCTCCATCCACCTCCATCTCCTTCCCTATTGTATCCAGTGTACCCGACTGTCATCACCTCCGTCCACCGCCATCTCCTTCCCTATTGTATCCAGTGTACCCGACTGTCATCACCTCCGTCCACCGCCGTCTCCTTCCCTATTGTATCTAGTGTACCCGACTGTCATCACCTCCATCCACCACCATCTCCTTCGATATTGTATCCAGTGTACCCGACTGTCATCGCCTCCATCCACCGCCATCTCCTTCCCTATTGTATCTAGTGTACCCGACTGTCATCACCTCCATCCACCGCCATCTCCTTCCCTATTGTATCTAGTGTACCCGACTGTCATCTCCTTCATCCACCGCCATCCCCTTCCCTATTGTATCTAGTGTACCCGACTGTCATCTCCTCCATCCACCGCCATCTCCTTCCCTATTGTATCCAGTGTACCCGACTGTCATCACCTCCATCCACCGCCATCTCCTTCCCTATTGTATCCAGTGTACCCGACTGTCATCACCTCCATCCACCGCCATCTCCTTCCCTATTGTATCCAGTGTACCCGTCTGTAATCACCTCCATCTCCTTCCCTATTGTATCCAGTGTACCCGACTGTCATCACCTCCATCCACCTCCATCTCCTTCCCTATTGTATCCAGTGTACCCGACTGTCATCACCTCCGTCCACCGCCATCTCCTTCCCTATTGTATCTAGTGTACCCGACTGTCATCGCCTCCGTCCACTGCCATCTCCTTCCCTATTGTATCCAGTGTACCCGACTGTCATCACCTCCATCCACCGCCATCTCCTTCCATATTGTATCTAGTGTAACCCGACTGTCATCACCTCCATCCACCGCCATCTCCTTCCATATTGTATCTAGTGTACCCGACTGTCATCACCTCCGTCCACCGCCATCTCCTTCCCTATTGTATCTAGTGTACCCGACTGTCATCACCTCCGTCCACCGCCATCTCCTTCCCTATTGTATCCAGTGTACCCGACTGTCATCACCTCCATCCACCGCCATCTCCTTCCCTATTGTATCTAGTGTACCCGACTGTCATCACCTCCATCCACCGCCATCTCCTTCCCTATTGTATCTAGTGTACCCGACTGTCATCACCTCCATCCACCGCCATCTCCTTCCCTATTGTATCCAGTGTACCCGACTGTCATCTTCTCCATCCCACCGCCATCTCCTTCCCTATTGTATCCAGTGTACCCGACTGTCATCGCCTCCATCCACCGCCATCTCCTTCCCTATTGTATCCAGTGTACCCGACTGTCATCGCCTCCGTCACCGCCATCTCCTTCCCTATTGTATCCAGTGTACTTGGCGTCATTCTTGACTTCGAACCTCTCCCTCCAACTCCATGTCAAATCACCACCATCTCCTTCCATATTGTATCATTGTACCCGACTGTCCTCACCCCAGACACCACCAAACCATCTCCCTCATTCCCTATACTGTATCTCACTGTACCCGACTGTCATCTCCAGACCATCCTGAACTCACTGCCAGACTCCATCCACCTATTGTACCACCCGCTCCACCTCTGTCATCCCCTCTGCCTCTCCCTCCACTGGCTCCCGATTGCCTTCCCTATTGTATCCAGTGTACCCGACTGTCATCCGTTCACAACACATCCACCTGCCATCTCCTTCCCTATTGATCACCAGTGTACCCGACTGTCATCGTACCCTCCGCTCCTCACAGGACCTCCTTCTATCCTCCCTATTGTCTCCTCCTCCCATGCACGACTGCAGGACTTCTCCAGGTCCTCACCCCATCCTCTGGAACTCACTGCCCCCAATCCATCAGACTGTCGCCTTCTCCTATTCACATTCTCCCTCAAAACCCATCTCTTCAGGGAAGCCTACCCGACTGTCATCACCTCCGGCCACCTCCCTCATTCCTCCCATTGTATCCAGTGTACCCGACTGTCATCCTCTGTCCACCGCCATCTCCTTCCCTATTGTATCTAAGTGTAGGGCCCTCTTACCCCTCACGCTGTCTGTCCTACTGTGCCATGTATTGTCCCCCCCTATTGTACAGCGCTGAGCAAACCCTTTGGCGCTATCTAAACTCCTATTGTATAATAGTGTACCCGACTGTCATCGCCTCCATCCACCGCCATCTCCTTCCCTATTGTATCCAGTGTACCCGACTGTCATCACCTCCATCCACCGCCATCTCCTTCCCTATTGTATCCAGTGTACCCGACTGTCATCACCTCCGTCCACCGCCATCTCCTTCCCTATTGTATCCAGTGTACCCGACTGTCATCACCTCCGTCCACCGCCATCTCCTTCCCTATTGTATCCAGTGTACCCGACTGTCATCACCTCCATCCACCGCCATCTCCTTCCCTATTGTATCTAGTGTACCCGACTGTCATCACCTCCATCCACCGCCATCTCCTTCCCTATTGTATCTAGTGTACCCGACTGTCATCACCTCCATCCACCGCCATCTCCTTCCCTATTGTATCCAGTGTACCCGACTGTCATCACCTCCATCCACCGCCATCTCCTTCCCTATTGTATCTAGTGTACCCGACTGTCATCCTCCTGTCCACCGCCATCTCCTTCCCTATTGTATCTAGTGTACCCGACTGTCATCACCTCCATCCACCGCCATCTCCTTCCCTATTGTATCTAGTGTACCCGACTGTCATCACCTCCATCCACCGCCATCTCCTTCCCTATTGTATCTAGTGTACCCGACTGTCATCATCCTCCATCCACCGCCATCTCCTTCCCTATTGTATCTAGTGTACCCGACTGTCATCGCCTCCATCCACCGCCATCTCCTTCCCTATTGTATCCAGTGTACCCGACTGTCATCGCCTCCATTCACCGCCATCTCCTTCCCTATTGTATCTAGTGTACCCGACTGTCATCGCCTCCGTCACCGCCATCTCTTCTTCCCTATTGTATCTAGTGTACCCGACTGTCATCACCTCCGTCCACCGCCATCTCCTTCCCTATTGTATCTAGTGTACCCGACTGTCATCACCTCCATCCACCGCCATCTCCTTCCCTATTGTATCTAGTGTACCCAACTGTCATCACCTCCATCCACCGCCATCTCCTTCCATATTGTATCTAGTGTACCCCGACTGTCATCACCTCCATCCACCGCCATCTCCTTCCCTATTGTATCTAGTGTACCCGACTGTCATCACCTCCATCCACCGCCATCTCCTTCCTATTGTATCCAGTGTACCCGACTGTCATCGCCTCCATCCACCGCCATCTCCTTCCCTATTGTATCTAGTGTACCCGACTGTCATCGCCTCCATCCACCGCCATCTCCTTCCCTATTGTATCCAGTTTACCCGACTGTCATCGCCTCCATCCACCGCCATCTCCTTCCCTATTGTATCTAGTGTACCCGACTGTCATCGCCTCCATCCACCGCCATCTCCTTCCCTATTGTATCTACTGTACCCGACTGTCATCACCTCCGTCCACCGCCGTCTCCTTCCCTATTGTATCTAGTGTACCCGACTGTCATCGCCTCCATCCACCGCCATCTCCTTCCCTATTGTATCCAGTGTACCCGACTGTCATCGCCTCCGTCCACCGCCATCTCCTTCCCTATTGTATCTAGTGTACCCGACTGTCATCACCTCCATCCACCGCCATCTCCTTCCCTATTGTATCTAGTGTACCCGACTGTCATCCCCTCCATCCACCGCCATCTCCTTCCATATGTATCCAGTGTACCCAACTGTCATCACCTCCATCCACCGCCATCTCCTTCCCTATTGTATCCAGTGTACCCAACTGTCATCACCTCCATCCACCGCCATCTCCTTCCATATTGTATCTACTGTACTCAACTGTCATCCCCTCCATCCTACCCCTTCAGGGGCCACATGATGATACTTGTCCCCAGTGGTCGCCCTGACCTTGTGAGCCTCCTGACACCTCTCACATTCCGGGCTCAGACATATTTCAACAATATAGAATAGGAATGCCAGAAACACAACTCTTAGTAACACCTCTTTATTGGACTTGTTCAAACGAGTAGGGAACAGAAACAATGGGCTCAGGATATACAACCCCAGTTAACACGTACAAAGGGAACTCTGGTGAAATAGGAATAATCAGTTAGCAACGTCTAACATAATATACAGTCATGAGTAGAAAGCCTCAACCATTTAATTGCAACACCAGCAGTAAGATGGGGAAGAAAAGGCTTGTTGACTTATTAGTTCCCTCCAGACCACTGGCACCCCAATGGCAAATGAAGAGATTTTAAGTACCCCAATTTGAATAGAAATGGCCTTAAAAGAGAAAAAATCCTTTAACTACAGATTGCATCTTGAGTCCTGTTATGATTAAAGTTAAGTCTGCTAGCAATAGTGGGGCCCCAAATCATTAGTGAATATTGGTAATTCAATTCAATTAACAGGCTGAGGACAAAGCGAAGATCTCCTGATACTGAGGTGTTAAGGTGTCTCGAGAGTGATGACAGAAAGAGGATGGGCATCTGTCTAGTCAACAGTCCTATGGACAACACGGCCTCCTAGGAAACAAGAGTTCTTGCCCAGGCTCTTGGCAGGTTGCAGGGATGGGCGGAGCTACCACTTGACGGCCTGTCAGTGCAGTGAGCAGAGATGTCTGTGTGAAGGCCGGACAGTGACAGTCCTGATGCAGAGACTCTGATGTGATCCTGGTGTGGTGATCGTTGTCCGCTGTGCTGATGCTGAACTGATGTGATGTGCAGAGTTCTGCACAGACCTAACCTGCAGTGTGCACAGACCTATATACCCCTGCAGTGTGCACAGACCTATACCCTGCAGTGTGCACAGACCTATACCCTGCAGTGTGCACAGACCTATACCCTGCAGTGTGCACTGACCTATACCCTGCAGTGTGTGCACAGACCTATACCCTGCAGTGTGCACTGACCTATACCTGCTGCGGTGTGTACAGACCTATACCCTGCAGTGTGCACAGACCTATGCACACCCTGCAGTGTGCACTGTGTGCACAGACCTATATCCTGCAGTGTGCACAGACCTATACCCTGCAGTGTGCACAGACCTATACCCCAGTGTGCACTGACCTATACCCTGCAGTGTGCACAGACCTATACCCCAGTGTGCAGGTGTGTGCACAGACCTATACCCTGCAGTGTGCCCTGCACGGTGTGTACAGACCTAGCCTGCAGTGTGCACTGACCTATACCCTGCAGTGTGCACAGACCTATATACCCTGCAGTGTGCACTGACCTATACCCTGCAGTGTGCACAGACCTATAGCCTGCAGTGTGCACAGACCTATACCCTGCAGTGTGTGACCTGACCTATGACCTGCAGTGTGCACAGACCTATGACCTGCAGTGTGACCACAGTGTGCACACCTCTACCATGCAGTGTGCACAGACCTATGACCTGCAGTGTGCACACAGACCTATACCCTGCAGTGTGCACAGACCTATACCCTGCAGTGTGCACAGACCTATACCCTGCAGTGTGCACAGACCTATGACCTGCAGTGTGCACCCTGCAGTGTGCACAGACCTATGACCTGCAGTGTGCACTGACCTATGACCTGCAGTGTGCACAGACCTATGACCTGCAGTGTGCACAGACCTATACCCTGCAGTGTGCACTGACCTATACCCTGCAGTGTGCACAGACCTATGACCTGCAGTGTGCACAGACCTCTAGCATGCAGTGTGCACTGACCTATGACCTGCAGTGTGTACTCCCCTCAGTCCTAGGGATGGACATGTCTCCAGCCTCTCTTTTATCCCGGACCTCAGCAACGTCTTGGAGTCTATGGTGTAATGAGCCTACAGACCATCTTCTTCTCTTCTTCTTCTTCTCACAGTTCCGCCTTTGCCAACGCTGAACCCCGGGCCGCCGCTGGTGGAAGGAGTGGGCCAGACAATAGCGGCCTCCTGTACGGCAGAGGGAAACCCCGCCCCCAGACTGAGCTGGCAGACAGAGGTGATTGGCACAAACTCATCTCGCACGTTTGACCACACCCGATCGACCTCGGTGACCAGTGAGTTCTATGTTGTGCCGGTGCGCAGTATGAACGGCAAGGAGCTGACCTGCGTGATATCGCACCCTGGCTTCCAGGAGGAGAAGAGGATCACCCATGTGCTCTCTGTGAAGTGTAAGTACTGGCTGCAAGCCTGCAATGAGAACTGTCTGTGTTGCCTCACTGCAATCAAATCTCTGCATTCTGACACCGTTCCATCTGACATTTTCCCTGGCAGATCTCGCAGAGGCCTCCATACAAGGCCACGAGGGCTGGTTTGCGGGTAAAGATGGCGCTTCCCTCCAATGCTTGTGTGATGGCAACCCCCACCACCAGTCTACCAGTGGTCCAGGTAAGGCGTTCCATCCACTCTACTAGTGGTCCAGGTAGGGCGTTCCGTCCAGTCTACCAGTGGTCCAGGTAGGGCGTTCCATCCACTCTACCATTGGTCCAGGTAGGACGTTCCGTCCAGTCTACCAGTGGTCCAGGTAGTAGGGCGTTCCGTCCAGTCTACCATTGGTCCAGGTAGGGCGTTCCGTCCGTCTCCATTGGTCCAGGTAGGATGTTCCGTCCAGTTACCAGTGGTCCAGGTAGGGCGTTCCATCCACTCTACCATTGGTCCAGGTAGGACGTTCCATCCAGTCTACTAGTGGTCCAGGTAGGGCGTTCCGTCCAGTCTACCAGTGGTCCAGGTAGGGCGTTCCATCCACTCTACCATTGGTCCAGGTAGGGACGTTCCGTCCAGTCTACCAGTGGTCCAGGTAGGGCGTTTCTACCATTGGTCCAGTAGGGCGTTCCGTCCACTCTACCATTGGTCCAGGTAGGGCGTTCCGTCCACTCTACCATTGGTCCAGGTAGGGCGTTCCGTCCACTCTACCATTGGTCCAGGTAGGGCGTTCCATCCAGTCTACCATTGGTCCAGGTAGGACGTTCCGTCCAGTCTACCAGTGGTCCAGGTAGGGCGTTCCGTCCAGTCTACCATTGGTCCAGGTAGGGCGTTCCGTCCAGTCTACCATTGTTCCAAGTAGGACGTTCCGTCCAGTATACCAGTGGTCCAGGTAGGGCGTTCTGTCCAGTCAACCAGTGGTCCAGGTAGGGCATTCTGTCCAGTCTACCATTGGTCCAGGTAGGGCATTACGTCCAGTCTACCAGTGGTCCAGGTAGGGCGTTCCGTCCAGTCTACCATTGGTCCAGGTAGGGCGTTCCGTCCAGTCTACCATTGGTCCAGGTAGGGCGTTCCATCCAGCCCACCACTGGTCCAGGTAGGACGTTCCGTCCAGTATAACAGTGGTCCAGGTAGGGCGTTCTGTCCAGTCTACCATTGGTCCAGGTAGGGTGTTCTGTCCAGTCTACCAGTGGTCCATGTAGGGCGTTCGTCCAGTCTACCATTGGTCCAGGTAGGGCGTTCTGTCCAGTCTACCATTGGTCCATGTAGGGCGTTCCGTCCAGTCTACCAGTGGTCCATGTAGGGCGTTCCGTCCAGTCTACCATTGGTCCATGTAGGGCGTTCCGTCCAGTCTACCAGTGGTACCATGTAGGGCGTTCCGTCCAGTCTACCAGTGGTCCATGTCCATGTAGGGCGTTCCGTCCAGTCTACCATTGGTCCAGGTAGGGCGTTCCGTTCAGTCTACCAGTGGTCCAGGTAGGGTGTTTCCGTCCAGTCTACCAGTGGTCCATGTAAGGGCGTTCCGTCCAGTCTACCAGTGGTCCATGTAAGGCGTTCCGTCCAGTCTAGCAGTGGTCCAGGTAGGGTGGTTCTGTCCAGTCTACCATTGGTCCAGGTAGAGGTAGGCGTTCCGTCCAGTCTACAGTGGTCCATGTAGGGCGTTCCGTCCACGATTGGTGTCCAGTTAGGGCGTTCCGTCCAGTCTACGATTGGTCCATTAGGGCGTTCCATCCAGTCTACCATTGGTCCATATAAATACAATGTGAAAATGATAACAAAACACCCTTACACCTACACTAATTCCAAATTGGAAAAAACTTTCAACCCCTGAAAGCTCAAACTCAAAGATAGGTCCAAAAAAGAATCTACCCTCTTTAAACAAATAGTCTACCTATATGTGCAACAACAAAATGTTCCCCATATAGTTATATACTAACACAAAGTCATAAAGTCCAGTGTCTCAGTGATCCAAAACAAATAATAAAAGTCCAGTGTCTCGATAAAAAAGAAAATAGTAGAACTAAAAAAGATGTATTTCTTGCAGTGTTGATTGTTGTGAGAAAACCTCAAAAATAAAGAAACTCACAATAGTGCATTACCATAATATAATCAAAGAAAAAAAAAAAAAAAAAATATATATATATATATATATATATATATATATATATACACCTATATATACGTATACATGCACACACAGATGTATATCAAAAGATTGTGCAACATTAAGTGATAAAAGAAAAGTAAACACTTGTGAAAACCTTCCAAAAAAGGTAATAAAACTCTCGTGCTCATAAATTATGAAATCCTGAAGTGATCCACTCAGTGAGATTCCTACCCACATGTGACACTTCTAGTGAGTAAGGCCAATATACCCCCACCAACAGTAGATGGAACCCACGCCTTAATCAGATATTATGTAGAAATCCTCCAAAGGAACTTTCTCCTCCTCTCCTCCTTCACTTTTTGTTAGGGTGATGTTAAAATGTCATCCACATTCACAGATCTATGAAGCATGACGTACCTCCATATATATTCAGAATTTTAATGAATCTGCTTGCATTTACCAGAGTTAAAAAAATTAGCGGTTTGGACAAACCCCACTAAGTGGGGATTACCAGGCAGTTCCCACAGTTTCCCAGACAGTTTCTCACACGAGTATCCAGCGATTCCCCAACAAAGATGGCCGCTGTAATACTTCCGGTTCCTGCTCCTTGCGTATGACGTCACTTCCTCTTGACGCGTTTCGTCACATCCGGGACTTAATCATAATCATCTTAGAGCACTGTCCAGTCTACGATTGGTTCAGGTAGGGCGTTCCGTCCAGTCTACCATTGGTCCAGGTAGGGTGTTCCGTCCAGTGTACCAGTGGTCCATGTAGGGAGTTCCGTCCAGTCTACCAGTGGTCCAGGTAGGGGCGTTCCGTCCAGTCTACCATTGGTCCAGGTAGGGCGTTCCGTCCAGTCTACCAGTGGTCCATGTGTAGGGCGTTCCGTCCAGTCTACCATTGGTCCATGTAGGGCGTTCCGTCCAGTCTACCATTGGTCCAGGTAGGGCGTTCCGTCCAGTCCAGGTACCAGTCTACCATTGGTCCAGGTAGGGCGTTCCGTCCAGTCTACCAGTGGTCCAGGTAGGGCGTTCCGTCCAGTCTACCAGTGGTCCAGGTAGGGCGTTCCGTCCAGTCTACCATTGGTCCAGGTAGGGCGTTCCGTCCAGTCTACCATTGGTCCAGGTAGGGCGTTTCCGTCCAGTCTACCAGTGGTCCAGGTAGGGCGTTCCGTCCAGTCTACCATTGGTCCATGTAGGGCGTTCCGTCCAGTCTACCAATGGTCCAGGTAGGGCGTTCCGTCTACCAGTCCTACCAGTGTACCAGTGGTCCAGGTAGGGCGTTCCGTCCAGTCTACCAGTGGTCCAGGTAGGGCGTTCCGTCCAGTCTACCAGTGGTCCAGGTAGGGCGTTCCGTCCAGTCTACCAATGGTCCAGGTAGGGCGTTCCGTCCAGTCTACCATTGGTCCAGGTAGGGCGTTCTGTCCAGTGGTTCAGGTAAGGCGTTCCGTTGTACGGACTGGAGCCACTTGTATTATGGAATGTGGGTCCAGCGTATGCAGACAAATCATCCGTCAGTCGTAGAGTCCAGACATGGGAACTGGAGCATCTCCCATCTGGTCACCATGTCTGCTCATTGCCCGCTCTGATGAGAAGACCCAACCCCTCGGGGGAGTGACCCCCAGACTCTGATATTGGGGGGATAATCCCCTGAGCCAATGTGGTGACAAGGAGCCTTCTCTGATCCCCAAGACGCCCCTACACACTCAGGCTGGGGGAGGGGTTTCCCGGCAGTACTGGGGGGGGGTAATATATAGCCACCATGTGATAATGGAAGCAGTATTGGGGGGGTAATATATAGCCGCCATGTGATAGTGGGAGCAGTGTGGGGGGGTAATATATAGCCGCCATGTGATAATGGAAGCAGTATTGGGGGGTAATATATAGCCGCCATGTGATAGTGGAGCAGTGCTAGGGGGGGTAATATATAGCCGCCATGTGATAGTGGGAGCAGTGCTGGGGGGGGTAATATATAGCCGCCATGTGATAATGGGAGCAGTACTGGGGGGGTAATATATAGCCGCCATGTGATAATGGGAGCAGTACTGGGGGGGGGGGTAATATATAGCCGCCATGTGATAATGGGAGCAGTGCTGGGGGGGGTAATATATAGCCGCCATGTGATAATGGGAGCAGTACGGGGGGGGGGGGGGTAATATATAGCCGCCATGTGATAATGGGGCAGTACATCTGTGGGGGGGGTAATATATAGCCGCCATGTGATAATGGGAGCAGTGCTGGGGGGGGTAATATATAGCCGCCATGTGATAATGGGGAGCAGTACTGGGGGGGGGGTAATATATAGCTGCCATGTGATAATGGGAGCAGTACTGGGGGGGGGTAATATATATAGCCGCCATGTGATAATGGGAGCAGTGCTGGGGGGGGGGTAATATATAGCCGCCATGTGATAATGGAGAGCAGTACTGGGGGGGGGGGGTAATATATAGCCGCCATGTGATAATGGGAGCAGTGCTGGGGGGGGGGGTAATATATAGCCGCCATGTGATAGTGGGAGCAGTGGGGGCTGGGGGGTAATATATAGCCGCCATGTGATAGTGGGAGCAGTGCTGGGGGGGGGTAATATATAGCCGCCATGTGATAATGGGAGCAGTACTGGGGGGGGTAATATATAGCCGCCATGTGATAATGGGCAGCAGTACTGGGGGGGTAATATATAGCCGCCATGTGATAATGGGAGCAGTACTGGGGGGGGGGGGGGGGGGGTAATATATAGCCGCCATGTGATAATGGGAGCAGTGCTGGGGGGGGGGTAATATATAGCCGCCATGTGATAGTGGGAGCAGTACTGGGGGGGGGGGGTAATATATAGCCGCCATGTGATAATGGGAGCAGTGCTGGGGGGGTAATATATAGCTGCCATGTGATAATGGGAGCAGTACTGGGGGGGGGGGGGTATATATAGCCGCCATGTGATAGTGGGAGGTACTGGGGGGGGTAATATATAGCCGCCATGTGATAGTGGGAGCAGTACTGGGGAGGGGGGGTAATATATAGCCGCCATGTGATAGTGGGAGCAGTGCTGGGGGGGGTAATATATAGCCGCCATGTGATAGTGGGAGCAGTGCTGGGGGGGGGGGGGTAA